CTACCAAACTGCATCCGCTCACATTGGGGAACTTTGAATTGGGATAGTTTGGTTCACCATGAACATAAAATAACGAAAATATAAGCGTCCATTATCCACAACAAATTCTCTCCAAGTGATCTGAGTTACATGGACCTAGTGTTACGCATAGCGGAGTTATGCCCCTTATCATTATATGTGTATGACCTCTCTGTCGTCGTTTGGCGTCATAGAAGAAAATCCATTTTGACATTTATTGCGAGTCATTTTTTAATGTTGGCGATATAGCGTTATGCACAAGCACATAAACCCAATTCATATACACTTATGTCGTTCAGATATCAAGCTGTATTTTCTTAGCTAACACTTTCCGTAAAGATGCCACATTAAAAATTAAGTAGCACAGTGCTTTTATCGGTCTTGTGATAAAAAGCGGATAAAATCACTGTTTCTTAACGCATAAAAAAAAATTGGACAACATTTAGCAGTGTCTATTTCTCAAACCGCCGAGGTAGTTGCACTTATATTTATACCAACGGATAGGAAATTTAATATTCTACATTTCTGTGTAATTTTATAGCCGTACGTAGATCCAGGACCACGCGAGAGCAATTCTCGCACAACGATCACTTTTCAAACCGTATGAAAATGTGCGCCTGAAAAAAAACTCGGCAGCCAGGGGGTTAAGCGGCCACTACGTTATGAGTCCCCAGACACCGGAGGCAGTAGTCACGTCAAAATGAGACATAATTTTAGGAACCTACCTGACTTATGATTCATATATTACATCTATCACATTTCACAATGTCTGAAAACACTTATTAAATTTAAATTTATCATATATTATGAGGAGAATTAAAATTATAAACTATTTTTCGCAATGTTCTTGAAAACAACGATTCTCGGACACATGCTTCGGCTGCGGGTCCACAATAACATTGCCAAAGAGCAAAGTAACGAACGATGTTTCGAGGAATTCATTAAATAAATTGAATAAACTAATGAATAAAATCAACAACAGCATTCATAAAAGTTGTCAAACGTACATATAAAATTATTATTTCCATCTTTTTGTGCAATGTCAAGTGACATCCCGGCTCTCGCCGCCTCAATCTTCACGCTCGGACACGATGTTTAATGCGAAAATATACACATGAAGCATTTTTGTAACAGGTCATAACCTACCACGATACGTCCAATAAGTTCCATAATTTGCATATAGGTAGCGATTTCTTGCTTAATATGTTCAAAATAGCATTATTTTACCCAAAACTTTCGTCTAAATCTAAAAGTTTTCGTTTACGAGGGCGGTAGCCATTGCCATAATATGATTGGCTGCCTTAGGTCACGTGTCTGATTTTGACCAATCACGACCTTTATAGCAGACAGTAGCGAAAAAGCGTCATTAGAAACCAATTTTTATCCAATAAAATCGCTTCTTACAACTGTGAAAATACTCTTGGCAAGGGTTCAGTGATATTGTTGATGTTCAGAGCTTTCGAACGATACCCGACATCAGGCGATTAAGCCTCCCATGTTATTCATCTGACGGCGAAAACGGAGGTATTTTCCGTTGTTATGTCATGTTACCGAGCGGAAAGCCACAGATATCAGGAAATAGGCGACCATACATATCATTTAAGAAATATTTTTATAATAGTTTTCTGATTACGTAAAAATGAAAATATAAAAGAAAAAGGCACGGGCATGTTATGACATGTCACAAATGGAAAAAAATCGCCATAGTTTTTGCTTCTTTCGTGGTTTATCTGGACGTTATAAATGTAAGCTTGCATTTTCATTAAAAATTAATTTTATTTAAGTTGTAGTTGTATTATTTGAATAATATTATAAAAATAAACTTCATATTTATCAACAGTAGGATTAGATCTTTTAAATGGTGTATGGGATGTAGTGGCAATAACGTTTTACAAGCTTATAATTTCCTTCATAAACATAGGCTTCATCTATGACCTCAGAGTCTCTGGGAACTCGGTGTCATGGCAGTAAATGCCTCTGGTTGACTGGTGTTGAAAGAATTAAACATATTCCTAAAATTCTCAATAATTTCTGGTCATACTAACTTTCTAAATCCAGCCAAGCGATTAGATATTCTTTCAGCAGAATGCATGTAATAAGCATCATGTTGCTTTTGATGTGACATTGGAAAGGTATTTAAGGCCAGACCAATTTTACTTCTTGTTTTACAAGTTCATCTGTCGTATTTTTTCAAGAATAAGAAAAAAAGAAGAAAAAAAATCAATTTTCCCCTCTCAAAAAATAAAATGCTAATTTTTTTATTGGCCAAAAAATTAACTTACAAGAATTTTTTTTATAGATTGTTTTTTGCCCCATATACACTTTATAAATTGCCAAAAGCAAAATACTTCTAGTATTTGGAAGGACTGACTGACTGAGTTTGGTTTTATGCTGCTTTTAGCAATATTCCAGCAATATCACGGCGGGGTACACCAGAAATGGGCTTCACTCATTGTACCCATGTGGGGATTCGAACCCCGGTCTTCAGCGTAACGAGCCAACGCTTTAACCACTAGACCACCCTACCGCCCCCAGTATTTGGAAGGAATATTACTTTGATTGGTGATTTTATTTTCATTTTTTTCCCCTCCTGCCTTTAGGTTTTCTGAGGACAAAGATCCGTAAAACAAGTATTAAGATTGGTCTGGCCTAATTGTTATTAACCAGGATCCAAATATAGAAGACTGACTGAGTTTAGTTTTACGCAGCTTTTAGCAATATTCCAGCAATATTACGGCGGGGGACACCAGAAATGGGCTTAACACATTGTGCCCATGTGGGGAATCGAACCCAGGCCTTCGGCGTGACGAGCCAACGCTTTAACCACTAGGCTACCCCACCACCCCCCAAATTTAGAAGAAGTACGGTAACCTTTCCCCATTGGGAGTTCAGGTACCAAGTAGGCAAGCTGTTAGTGGCTGAGCATTGCTTTCAATGTTACCTGGGGATATCCATTTACATCATTACTGCAGAGGAGTCATTAATCCGTCAAAACACTAAATCTGCCTGGACTAGTCTCGTGTATCGGGTTATAAAGAGGTCTCAAAAATGTTTACCTAGACTGATATTTAGTTCCATAAATAAATTCACATTAACCTATCTGACAAAAAATAAATACATATACAGTCCAATCCCGATGAGTCGAAGTGCTGGGGACCAAGTAATACATTCGACTTATTGATGTATTCGAGACATAGGTATGTATATGAGGATAGAACAAAAGATGATCCAGTCCTAATTCCTCCACCTAAGCATTTGTTTACCTAATAGGGGCACCTTATCAGTTCCAGTCTGATTAGCACAGACAGTGATTTCCGTAAAATCATTAATCTGCCTTTTGAACTCACCCCGTCAATGGTGGAAAGGTGTGAGCAGCGCTGGTTTGTTAATTGGATCAGTTTGCTACACCAATCAACTTCTCATTGACTGACTTCGGCTTATGTATACAAGATTGCTGTTGTTTGAATCTCATGGGACCAAATTTCCTTCTCGAGTCATCGTGTGTATTTATGAGACGACTTCGTGTAACTGGTATTCAAATGATGACAACTATAACAGGGAATGGTCGGGACCGACAGGTACTTGGAGTTATGCATAATATTCGAGACCCCGGCATTCCACTCATCGGGATTTGACTGTATAAGTCCAACAGGAACCATTTAGGATAAAACTTAATTTCGGTCAGAAGAAATCTAGACTTGCCCAATCACTTACGAGTTGAGATGGGCTCCATTTTTTATTCTCTTTTTAAAGTCTATGAGACAGACTAAAACTTCAATCATTCTTGACTTGAGTCAGGCTTTTTTTTTATTTCATTCTGTGGAATCTGGAAAACGGACTAAAACTCAAATGTACAATAGAAAGTTTGGAACAAGATCCATAAAAGCCAACTTACGTGTAATTTTCATATTCGACTTCACTATGCAACAAAAAACTACAAAGTTACCCTTTCTTTCTTCACAAGTGTTCAGCAGTGGACAGTATTGACCAAAATCGCCACATAATGCACATTATCAAATAATTCACATGATCACATGTGTTTATAATCAGAAATACAATATAATTAAGAACAGGAACATTTACAATGATTTTACCATGTTCAAGAGTAACGATGCTGGAACAGAATGGGCAAACCAAACCATATCAGTGATTAAGTTAGCAAATATCTAACACTGTCCATTCTGCGAGCTAACTTCATGTTTGTTTTATGGAAATGTATGTGTGGTTGATTTCCTTTTTTCAAAAGGCTGAAATGGGACAAAGATTTTCCAAACTTGATAGTTCAGCTGGGCCAAGTGACTTATCGATCTGGGCCTCCTTTCACAAAGCACTAAGGTGATCACAAGTCACTAAGTAAAGGTAACATTAGTGCAATGTTAAAGAATGGGACTTAAGGTTAACCTTAGTAAAGGTTGATTCGTGAAAGGACCCCCAGGATTCCTATCCACAAAGTGTTCGTAACGTTACACCATGTCGCAGTGTTTGCCTTTAACCTTGAAAAGCTGCAGGCCCTAAGGACCCAGAACCACAAAAGGTTGTGGGTCCAATCAGAATGTGTAGGCCCTATATTTTAGCTACAATATAGGCAATTCCCAGCAAACAAAAAATGTGACATCTAACAAACTGAGTTAAAGAATTTAATTTAACTCCAGTGACTGACTAGTCTTTGTTTACAACAAGTCAACATCCATGTCAAGATCCAAGTCTTCTTAATCAGGATCAGTCTGAATCAGAATGTTCAGACATGGCTGTCAGTTATTGGGGATTAAAAAGCTGGCGGACATAAGGACCTGCAGAAAACAAAAGGACCCACATCAATTCCGAACGCTGCCATGTCGTAACTTTTTACCATAGGCTCACAAATGTCGCAGCACTACGAATGCTTTGCGGACTAGGACCCTGGAACTTAAAGTAGAGTTGGATGGTATGGTGCACTAAGTCTGCGCGTGGAACAGTCCCAGGTAAACACGACAGCTACTCACCAATCGTGTATTCACAACAGGAAACAGTACAGCTATCGGCGCCCCCGTCAACATATGCATGTGCAGTCGGAACATCGCAGTCACTGCTTTGCTTGGAGGTGCCGCTAACAAAAATATCTGAAAAATCATTTATGAGTTCATTCACATACACGTGCGAGATAATATATAGGTTCTTACAATTGAAAAGATTAAACATTATTTTCGGAATGGTCATTTATTATAGGGAGGGAGGGAGGGATGGTTTTGGGGGATGGAGGGAAGGTTTGGGGGAGGGAAGTGTCGTAAATATGTCCATGATAAACGAAATTTGGTAAAATGTCAGACCAATGCACCCTGTAATGAATAACAAATCTTTTAGAAAATGTTTTGCTATTTCTTTCAAATTTGTCTGGTCTGTTTTCATATTTTCAGGTATAAAGGGTTTAGGCAGTCTGCATTTCACTTCATCCATTGTGAAATGAATCTAACTATAGTCCGTTGGTTCAAATGAGACGATGAATGATCAAGGAACCCGAAATAGGGATAAGTGCACAAAACATAAATAAGACACATGGTACTGAAACCTCTGTACCCAACAGGATCTGAAATCTGACGTTTTATGATAGATCACTGAAAAAGTTGTTTAAGAAAGTCACATGTAACATTGTTTTGTTTTCACCCTTCACACTGAGGGGTGACAAATGGCTGGTGGAACATCGAAGGCTGTTTCCTGACTAGTAGGGGGCTATGCTGAGTTGCACCTGAAGTGAGTGCTGGCTCTTAGGGTTTCAGACAAGGATTCTGCAAGAGAATCCTAATTAAAAAGATTCAGGTCAGAATTCACAGATGCACCAAGGTGCTGTTTGGGGTTCAAGCAAGGATTCTGTCAGTAGGAGTCCAAATTAAAGGGATTCTGCTTGAAATTCAGTCATGCAAGGCACTGTTGGGGGATTAGGCAAGGATTCTGCCTTGGAATCTTAATCAAAAGGATTCTGCTTGAAATTGACAGTCAAGCAAGGAACTGTTGGGGGATTAGGCAAGGATTCTGCCTTGGAATCCAAATCAAAAGGATTCTGCTTGAAACTGACAGAGTCAAGCAAGGCACTGTTGGCAGATGAGGCAAGGATTCTGCCTTGGAATCCAAATCAAAAGGATTCTGCTTAAAATTGACAGAGTCAAGCAAGGCACTGTTGGCGGATGAGGCAAGAATTCTGCCTTTGAATCCAAATCAAAAGGATTCTGCTTGAAATTGACAGAGTCAAGCAAGGCACTGTTGGCGGACCAGGCAAGGATTCTGCCTTGGAATGAAAACAGTAAGACAAGGCAGCATTGCATGTACATGCAAGTGATTCTGACTTGATATCCACAGAAATAAACATGGCAGTGTTAGTGATTAGAGGAAGGGCATAATTCTGCTTTGCAATCCACAAGCAAGCATTTCTTTGTGGTCCAGTCAAAGGATTCTGCCATGGAATAAACAAACATATCGTTCAGGGTTCATTCAAGAAATCCTGTCCTGAATCATCAAAACGAAAACCAAAAGTAACCTACCTGTATAACTGTTGCCACGTGACATGGATTAAACACCCATATAAACTGTCGGGTGGCGAACTTGAACCCAAGTTCGATCCCGAAAGTCAAACACATGATGACTAGAAGCAGGCGTTTTCCTATCTGATTGTCACGTAAGTCATCGTAGGAAATCTTTGGCAGAGTGAGGCGGGGATACGCCAACCACATGACAAACAATGAGAACAGGGTGGCACAAGAACTCTCCACTATCCGTTGTGAAACTCCCAGGAACTCCACACACTCACGTCCACCATTGCCTGGCAGCGTGTGGTCCACTCCTTCGTACATCCATTCCAGCAACGCCATCCACCCGGAACTGTTCCGAAACTTCTCCGAATCCATCGTCATCTCGCTTTCCGGCATCAGCTGGTACTTCCTGGATTCATGGACACCTGGAACAAGTGGAATAAATTTGTTATTTGAGTGTCAAAATGTCAGTCATCATGTTACATAACCCCTTCCCCATTCAAAGTTTCAGAGTTCATCATCATCATCATCATCACCATCATCATCATCATGATGCTGGAGTCTCCAATATTACAGCTACTGTATAGCATCGCAGCCTGTAAAAACTCAGGTTCATGTGAAGCTTCATTCAAGAAGTCGCAGTGGCTGAGCGGGTTAGGCGACTGACTTTGTGTGCTGGCGATTAGGTGCCTGACTCTGAGGGTGTGGGTTCAAATCCCGGATGGGACTCAACCCAAAAAGTACTAGAATTGTACTTTACTAAGAAGGTGTTATCCCAAATATAACATATGTTTCATTCAAGCAGGTTCATTTCAAACAGCTTGACACGATCAGGGGATTTCGGGGGAATGACGACATGCAATCATGATGTCAATCACTGGATTGGCTGGTTGAGACATGGATATTTACCAACCACTACCATATAGGTGGAACATAGCTGAGTGCAGCGTTAACAAACAAAACATGCACTCGACCATGCCAAGATGCTTCAGAGTAAAAGAGAACCGTGAAGATCCGGGGTAGAATAGGTCTTCAGCAACCCATGCTTGCCACAAAAGGCGACTGTGCTTGTCGTAAGAGGCGGCAAACGGGATCGGGCGGTCAGGCTCGCTGACTTTGTTGACACATGTCATTGGTTCCCAACTGTGCAGATCGATGCTCATGCTGATAATCACTGGATTGTCTGGTCCAGACTCGATTATTTACAGACCACCGCCATATAGCTTGAATATTGCTGAGTGCGGCGTAAAACTCAACTCACTCACTCACTCATAGTAAAAGGAAGTAGGGAATGCTGTGCTTTGTATCCAACAGGGATGGTAATGGATACACTTCTGAACGTTAGCCTTTTAGTCCGAGACTAGTTACATTTAGGAAGGTGCCGTGAAACTCCCTTCCATACTTCCACTTACCATTACAGTGTTTGTGCCTGTAAACACTATACCCTAAGTGTCCCTACAACAAGCACACTAAAGTCGCCGTCACAACAGATTCCTAATGGTTACCTGTATGAACATTTTATTCAAATGGCTAATTACTATGTATGCTTTGACACGTGCATACCTACATGGGACATATTTTTTATGCTAATTCCCATTTTAACCCTCACGTGGAGCGCACTGCACATTTACTGCCAGCCAACCAGAATGAGCTGTGCAACTGTGCCACTTCTCATTAATAATTGGTCTTAATATGCATGACTTTATCCATGTTAGGTCACCTTGACCTCCATAAACAACAAGCAATAATGTCAGGCTAGTCCACTCGGGGATCTTATAAGTTGTATGCTTCTCTCGAAGGTAATACAGTCTGATGTACACCTCTCTGTAGCACTGTCACCCGGGCTCTGGGACACCAACACAGACCACAACTAGTAATGCTGACCTGGTACGAAGGGTTTCTTGTAATTTTGTTTAATTGTATAGATTTTTGTTTAACGCCGCACTCAGCAATATTCCAGCTATATAGCGACAGTCTGTAAATAATCGAGTCTGGACCAGACAATCCAGTGATCAACCTTATAAGCATCGATCTGCGCGATTGGGATGCGATGACATATGTCAACCAAGTCGGCGAGCCTGACCACCCGATCCTTACAACAAGCATGGGTTACTGAAGACCAATTCTAACCCGGATGTTTTAGGTGTTTCTTGTATACATCCACCTGTATAAAGCAAACATGCATATAACCCGGCAAGATTACAGAATACCGGATACCTATCCGCCATTTTTTATTTTGATTGCGCATTTATTTTTGCGCACTTCGATTTTGTTTCCTTAGCAACGGCACGCGATGAATGAAGGCTGCGTTGAAGCAGCGTTCAATATTAAATATTAAATATTAAACAATATTAAAGCTAAAAAAGGTAAGATAATGGGGGTAAAGGGGGTACCCCCCTTTATTTAAAAGCCTTACCTACCTTACCTTACCAATCAAAAATCACTTACCATCAGAGTGTTCCCACACTGTAGAGTTCCTTTTCCCAGCATGCATTTGAATAAAATTTCAACACACGATTACTTTTTACTCTGTTTACGTCAGTGAACGCTGTTAAAATCCCCAGTTTAGGTTTCCTAAACCGGAAGTAAGGTGAGGAATTCGATTTTAACCTTAATTTTTACCTTAAATTCGTATTTTTACTGGATCGCTCGCAGGCTCGCGCTCTTTGTTTCTTCTATATATAGGAGCCTCTCGCGCACAATAGAATGTATATAATTAGGTATCCAGTATTCTGTAAGTGTACCTATAACCCAAGCACCTGACTCTTATGTTGTCAGTTCCTGACATAAGAACCACAAAGCACAAAAACACTGAAAATTTATCCTGGGGCCTTGGGAGTCTTTAATGGCAGATTTACATCGACCTCAAAAATGTTCAAAACAACAATCCAGGAAATCCATGGAAAATTATCATGGCCGTTATTAGCCAGATTCAGTCTGGTTGTCTTAGACATTTTAGGCTCAGCCTGTAATAATCCATTATAACCAGATAATAGTCTTTACACTATTGGGAGCAGTGGGGTAGTCTTAGATATTTTAGGCTCAGACTGTAATAATCCATTATAACCTGTGACTGATCAGTTAGACTTCTACTAACACAATTACCAGATAATAGTCTTTACACTTTTGGGGGCAGTGGGGTAGTCTTATGGTTAAAGGGTTCAGTGTCCCTCTGAAGACCCGGGTTCGATTCCCCACATGGGTACAATGCGTGAAGACCATTTCGGGTGTCCCCAGAGGAGATATAAATAAGTCTACAAAGTCATAAGTATGCCCATGAAGTCATGCAGTCTACGGGGCAATGGGGTAGCAAGGCTTGATTTAGTCTTAGTTACTTGCACTGGTGCAACCCAATATTACAAAGTGCAACCTAGTTATTTATCTAACTTGTCTAAAATTACAAGCATAATTATGTCAGCTCATTTTTCTTGTAAACTTTGAATAATTCAGTAGCATATATATTTCTTTCATTACTATTACAATAAAAGCAGTGCAACTGGAATTTGGCTGGTGCAACTAGGTTTTTATCTTAGGTTGCACCTGGTGCAAGTAGGTTAACACCTCTTAAATCAAGCCCTGGGTAACACTGTGGTTTAAGCGTTCACTAGACATGCTAAAGACCCGGGTTCGATTGCTGACATAAGTACAATGTGTGAAGTCCATTTCTGGTGTCCCCTGCCATGATACTGCTGCATTATTGCTAAACACAAGGTAAAACCATACTTACTCTATAATGTTGAACTAGTTTTATACTTGTACAGATCCCTTTGCTAAACTGAATTTGGCACAATGTATTTCCACATATATGGAATAGTGCCCCTTCTCATCAGACCGCATCCTATAACTGTACATATTGTATATCACATGTCCAGCTACTACGACTGTGAAAGAACTGCTTTTCTGTAAATATTAGCTTCCACACTGACAGGGTCATTAAATCAGTTGTTTCCATTCGAGGTGGTTATTGTGATTTGAGACCTCTAATTGAACAATCAAATCTTTTCCAAATGTTTAGCATCAAATATCAATTAATCTTTCCCATATTCTCTTGAAGAAAATAATTATTTTATTTAAATTGTTCACAATATATTTCTAGAATATCTACGAAACTCTCCCATATTCTTTTGTAAAAAAATACATACTGTACTTAATTTGTACACAACTTATATCTTACATTAAACCTCAATCAGGTCAGTTATCGCAGAAATACATCAATAATGTACATCCAATTTCAACAACTTATACTTGTGTAGGAGGCAACTGGGTGTCAGGCTTGCTGACTTGGTTGAAACATGTCATCATATTCCAGTTGTATAGATTGATGTTGATCACAGGATTGTCTGGTCCCAACTCGATTATTTACAGACTGGCACCATATAGCTGGAATATTGCTGGCATTAAACAACAAACAAACAAACAAAAACAATTTCATGAAAAACAACCTCCACCAGACTTTTTCTTTGGAAATAGAACAAAATACTACCCTATTCTAACACAATTATTTCCCTTGCCTGTCTACACAGGACATAATAAACACTTGTCTGGGCATATCAATAAATTCCACAATGTAGAGACTTGACTGTATCTGCCTGCACTAATTACATACACTACAAAGCTTTGGAAACATATTAGCTAATGTACTAGCTGACCACATCATGAACAGAGAACAATTTTAAATGGAAGACAGATGTTGCAATGAATGTGTTTTAACAGCTGTTGAACAAGTTTAAGTGAAATGTATTATATTTTAGAATTATCATGGAAACTGTCAAAAGTAAACACATTTTGTAAGCTGTAGGTATTTTTTAAATGTTCCTGAAAGTGAAATCATTAGGCGTTACCTGAAACAGACATTTTTAAGGATGCTTAACATGTCATCAATCCACTGTAGTGAATTTTGGTAAGACCATGATTTTGCTAGTCTGCATTACCACAGAAGAAATACCGGACCACCCGATTCCGCTAGTCGCTTCATACAAGCATGTGTACTATTACAAGGAAGATCATGCTACCAGTGTTCACGAATAGCGTCTGACCCTCTGACAAACCCGGCAGATTCGCCAACGGTCTGATAGAAGTCTAGAACCCACCAGTCTCAGTGTCTGATTGTATATTTCACAATGATTATGACTGAAGTTGTTATATGTGACATGTGACACTTGTTTGCTGTTAATAAATCTTACGTTTGTTAATAATTTATAAAAAATGTTAAATCTGAAATGTGTGTTTAATTTTATTCTGCGGGTCCTGTGAATTTTGAATGGGTCAGACAGACATCTGAAAGTTACAGGACCCAATGTCCTGTTACTTTGAAACAGCATTCGTGAACACTGTGCTACTATAAGTGTATCAAAATGTTTTCTCTGACCTTCTCAAGAGTTCTCAACAACAAAAATCCCAACTTCAAAAAATAACCTTTCAGCTG